GTATTGTGTGTTGTTGTGTGTAGGTTGTTAAGCCCAATGGAGGAGAAGTGTTTATATATTTTTAAGGGTTTAGGGTTTAGGGTTTTTGGTGGTTTGAGTTGGGGGCTGCGAGCAGCAGCAGCAAGTCAGCTGCTGGCGCTGCATGCGCTGCAGCAGCTGCGGCTAACAGAAGCAGCTTTGCTGCTGCAGCAATCTACTGCTGCTGTGTCTCAGGTTATTGCTGCTTCCTGCTGCTCCTCATCTGCTGCTGCACCTGCTGCTGCTGCTGCTGCTGCTCCTGCTGCTGCTGCTGCTGCTGCTGCGCTGCTGCAGCCAGCTCTGTCTCGCTTGTCTCTATCACACTTCATCTCTGGCTGTGTTGCTGCAGCGCATGCAAACAGCCCCAAGCAGCAGATGCATGCGTTGCTGCTGCAGCTAGCAGCAGCAAACAAGACACAAGGGGGGCCCCCCATGTTCAAACGTTGTCTCCTGGGGGCCCCCCTAGATGTATGCCTCGATACCCTGCTGGCGGTGGGGGCCTTCACAGCAGCTATGCAGCAGCAGCAGCAGCAGCAGCAGCAGCAGCAGCAGCAGGAAACAGAGACAGAGGAGACAGTTTGCTTCGTCCGCTGCTGCGCTGCAGCGCATGCAGCGCAGCAGCTAGCGAGGCTCCCGGGCTGCCTGAGCACTGCCTCGTTGCTGCTGCAGGACGTGCTGCAGCAGCAGCAGCAGCAGCAGCAGCAGCAGCAGCAAATGTTGTTTTCGCAGGATCTACCTCTTTTTCGTACTGTCATCAAGCTCAAGCTGCAGGAGCTGCGTGTACACCCCATTGGGGGCAGCAGCGGCGCTGCTGCAGCAAAGGCGCAGCAGCTGCTGCGTCTTCTGCAGCAACAGCAGCAGCAGCAGCAGCAGCAGCGGTGGCTTCCTGCTGCTGCTGCTGGTGCTGCAGCTTGTGGGGACGACAGCCTGCAGTGCCTCCAGCTGGCCTGCCACACAGTCTTGCTGCGCGAGCTGCAGCAGCAGCTGCTGCTGCAGCGCAGCAGCAGCAGCAACAGCAGCAGCAGCAGCAGCAACAGCAGCAGAGGGGAACTCTTGAGAGCAGCAGAGGGGGCGCTGAGGTGTATAGGCAGCTGCTGCAGCCTCCACGCCGCCAGCAGCAACACAGAGCTCTGCGGGGGCCCCGTTGCAGCAGCAGCAGCAGCAGCAGCAGAAGCATCATCAGGAGCAGCAGCAGCAGCAGCAGCTGCTGCTGCTGCTGCTTTTTCTGGTGGTCTCCATAGTCGATTGAAATGTCTGTGGCGGTGTGCTGCTGCTGCGAGAGAAGTATTAGCAGCAATAGAGGAGACAGAGGAGACAGAAGAGAGACAAAATAAAAAAGAAAAAGAAAAAAATAAAGAGACAAAGGAGACAGAATATAAACAAAGAAACGCAATACACAGCAACATATATGCAGCAGGAAGTGCAGCAGCAGCAGCTGGAGCTGGAGCTCCTGCTGCTGCTGCTGCTGCTGCTGCTGCTGCTGCTGCAGAGCCGCAACAAACAGCAGCAACACCAGCAGCAGCAACAACAATACCAGCAGCAGCAGCAACAGCAGCAGCAACAGCAGCAGCAGCAGCAGCAGGAGGAGGATCAGCAGCAAGAGCAGCAGCATCTGCTGTTGGTTGGTTGTTTTGTCTTCTTGTTGTCGATATACTAGCAGCAGATTGCTGCAGCAGCAAATACAGCAGGCGCAGCAGCGAGCTGCTGCCGGCTGTCTTGCTGCTGCTGGCTGATGCTGCAGGTGCAGCAAGCAGCAGCAAACGCATGCAGCCCCTTTTACATAAATATTTATACACAACAACAACAGCAGCAGCAGCAGCAGCAGCAACTGCAGCAGCTGCAGCAGCAGCAGCAGCAGCAACAGGAAAAGCAGCAGCAACAGCTACAGAAGGAGTATCAGCAACAGCAGCACAACCAGCAGCAACGGCAGCAGCAGCAGAACAACCAGCAGCAACAGCAGCAGCAGCAGCAACAGCAGCAGCAGCAGCAGCAGCAGCAGCAGCAGATGATGAAGCTTTTGCTGCTAGCATTGAAGAGAGATTAAC